TTAGTTGTGAACGGTCAACGCCAGAAGTCAACGGTCAACGCCGGAAGTCAACGGTCGACGCCGGAAGTCAACGGATTTTCGCCGGAAGTCAACGCCGGAGTAAACGGTCAACACCGGAGTCAATGGGTCAAAATAATATTTAAATAATTAAAATAATATAAAGAAAAGATTAAATCTTGACCACACATTATGTACCAAATCTTGTGGCCAGAAATAAGCCTCACGTCCTCACTTTAAGAATGTGGATGCATTGGAATATATATATATATATATATATATATATATATATATATATAGAAAGGATCATATGAATTATGATAAAGAGAAACTGTGAAAGAATAAGAATAATTCTAAATCATTGATATATCCTATCAATGATCATGATCAAGTCAAACATTAATTAATCATTAATGACAATATGGTAAATTAGCACACATTGCGGTGAAATGTACATATTTGACGACTCAATAGGGGCAAACCGGTCAGTACACACCAAACTACCAATCCTAATATTTATAACACACACACACACTTAGCGCGCGCGTGCGCGCGCGCACACACACACAGAGCCCAGCCCGCCGGAGACTGCCGCCATGCCTCAGCCGGCTTCCGGCGTACCTCAGTCGGCCTCTGTCGTACTTCCGGCGTGTCTCCGCCGTTCCTCTGTCGCACGCTAGAGACTGCGGCGATTCAAGATATTACTCTGGTCGTGCCTCTGTCGTACACCCGAGCGTGTCTCAGCCGTGTCCCGTCAGGGCCTTCATCGTGGCGGCGCTCTACCGCGCATACAAACCGCCCCGTCTCCTTCTCTACAGGGAGCTCCCACGAGGAGCCGTATGAGGTGGAGTGGCTCAGGCCGACTCGTGGTTCACGTCGCAGGGGGGATGACGGCGGTCGGGGCGGGATGACGGAGATGCCGACGACCGTGTGCTGGTAGCGGCGAATTTGGGTCTGAAATTGGGGCGAATTTGGGTCTGAAATTGGGTATGAAATTGGGCAACATTGACTGATATTGGGGAATGGATGATTCATGTTTTGGAGCTGATTTTTTTTTTTTTTTTGGAAAATTAGGTGTATTTAGGAGACTATTTTGTAATTTTTGAACTTTTAATATTTGTGTATTTTTTTACTTAATGGTAATTTATAATTTAATACATATTAATTTATGCACAACAATGACACATAGATGCACAATATTGTGTCTATATGTGAACTTTAAAAGATTCCATCATATGTATACAAAATTATTAAAAATTTGATAAATATTCATTTCTTTTCGATAAGTGATTTTCACATTATTTGTCTATAGATATGTGCTTTAAAAGTAAAAACAAATAATCAAAACGAAAAAAAGAACGAACTGAAGATTTTGACATAACCTGTTAATATAAATAGTAAAATAAATCAAAATAAATTACAATTTTTATTCTAAAAACATGTTCAGTTTTTAATATTTTTTGTTTAATATTATATGTTATTTTAAAAGAATTGAGATTTTAAAAGTAAAAAACATACAGTGAACCGAAACGTAAATTTTAGAACCATTTTTTTTTCGGCAAGTGCCAGTCTTTACAGTTTAATCCGATAGTAATTAATGAGCAAGATTAATATTTAAATAAAATCATATATATTTATAACGTTTATTTTACTAATGATTTTATTATCTAACTTATGATTTTAGATTATTAAATTCATACAAATATAACATTAATAATTTCATTCGCATTTATGCATTTGCACAAAGTCGAATACTAGTTAATTTATAGAAAAAAATAAAAAAAACACTAAATTATTGAACCGAACCGAACCAAACCAAATCATATCAGCCCCTCCCCAACCAAATTCAACCCACAAGTCCACACCGTTCAATAGCCCGTTTCCTTTCCCATGGTCCCCGGTCCTTAACTTGACTCGCATTCCCTTTGCATTTCTTGTGAATTTCAACGTAATTTTATTTACATTTACATTTGCATTTCAGTTTCATGTCCATTTCAATTCCATTGTCGCCATTTCAATTTCAAAACCGCTCTCTCTCTCTCTCTCTCTAGGGTACAACACACCTAATGCACCTTTTTATCTCACTTAAAAAAAAAACACAGAACAGAACAAAACAAGCTTCCTTTCATTTCGCTTTCTCTCGATTTTTCCTCTCTCCTCCTCTATTTATGTATCTACCGTAAGGTCGTCTTGCTTTCTCCTCGCTCTTTCACAATTCACAGCTTCTTGCTTTTTTCTGCTATGAAGATCGCCTCCTTCTGTTCCAAAATTTGCGTTAGTTTTTTTTTTTCATATGTTTTTTGATGTTCGTTTAATTGATTGATTAATGAGCGAAGTACTATGATCCGCTTGCAGATCTTGGGAGGAAGTTCGGCTTTGGATCTCTGGTGAGTTCCCTTTTGTTTTTGTTTGCTCGATTTCCCACTTCAATTACTTGATTTTTGATTTGTGCAGTCGTTGACTTCAGTTCGAACTGATCTGTTTTGTTCTGTATGCTGTGCTTTTCTGATTTGATTTGATTTGATTTGATTTGATTACTGTTTTGTGAGTGTTGCAAATGTTTCGTGAATAGCCAAAGTTGTGAAAATATGTTGAATATATGCCTTTTGCGCCTTAAGATTCTCGTCTCATAGCAGG